GGGGGGGGGGGGAAGAAACACCACACAACAGTATCTTTAGGGAAAAGTGCACACAAGCACATAAACCATGTGTCAGGAAAAAAAACTGCAAAAATACACATTGGGGGAAAATGCATACAAAAATACCCTGTTTCCCCAAAAATAAGACCTAACCTGAAAATAAGCCCTAGTATGATTTTTCAGGATGCTCGTAATACAAGCCCTATCCCAAAAAGAAGCCCCAGTTAAGTGAAACCCTGCCCTCCTACATTGTGCAGCAACCAGAAAATGACATTACTGTATTTGAATATAGATTGTTGTACATGAAAAAAACAAAACATCCCCTGAAAATAAGTCCTAATGCGCTTTTTAGAGCAAAAATTAATATAAGACTCTGTCTTATTTTCAGGGAAACATGGTACAGTGGTGCCCCGCTAGACACTTATCCTGCATGACGTCGAAATCGCTTGACAATGACATTTTTGCGATTGCTATTGCGATCGCAACACAATGGTTCCAATGGGGGAAATCCACTTTACGTTGATTAGGAGCCTGCTTCATGAACCGTTTGTTCGCAAAACGATGTTTTTTCCGGCTCCGCAAAATGGCTTCCCTCCCTTCTCAAAATGGCTGCTTTCCAGACGGAAGCGTCGCATTACAATGAATTAGAACAGCTGATCGGCGGTTCTCTATGGGCAATCTTCGCTGGACTATGAGGTATTTCCCCCATTGGAACACATTGACCAGTTTTCAATGCATTCCAATGGGGATTTTTTTTCGTTTGACAATGATTTCACTTAACAGCGATTTTACTGGAACACATTATCACTGTCAAGCGGGGCACCACTGTATGTATTTTTAAAGAAATGAATACAAAACAATGTATTTCTGTATGGAATTTTTTAAAAAACTCAGAAACTAATAAAGAAAAGAAAAGAGTGAACTATAGGCAGGTGAAATGAGAAAGGAAGAAACCAGCAGAAAAAATTCTGACTGCTTCTAGATTACACAGCCTGTCTCTTATACAAAAAACCGATAGTGCAGTACAATTAAAACTGTTTGGAATATGCGGAACATCTCTAACTCAGGAATCTGGTGCTTCAGGCTTGCACCTCCCTGCCTGGGGCTATTTAAACTGTTTCTGCAAGTCATGAATGTGAATGCACAACAAGATCAGCAAGGTAGTCTAATCCCAGATGTCAGCGTTCTTCACTGAATTGCTGATCAAGCCCTTCCGTATTTGTGTGTACATCTGCACACGTATGTCAGTAATCGGAGGAGGATTTATTTCCATATCACATATTTTTCTGCAACATATGTTTGCATTTATGGGTGGGTTTGAACATGTTCATGAATAATCTAGTGAGAAAGGCCAGATTACTCATAAACATGTTTGAACTTGCTTATGAGTTCAAATGTAGGTTACATTTGAAATATCATAGAAATGCACTCTTAAATTTGGACCGATGGTTGAATCAAGGTATACTAGGTTACATTTGAAATATCATAGAAATGCTCCCCCTACTCATCAGTAATAAGCTATTCAGATGTACCTAAGCAGACGAAGCCCATGACTAATTATATCACTTTGCAGAATACGTAATAAGCTATTCAGATGTACCTAAGCAGACGAAGCCCATGACTAATTATATCGCTTTGCAGAATACTGTTGTTGTTATGTGCTATCAAGTTGCCCCCAATTTATGATGAATCTATGAATGATCTCCAAAATGTCTGGTCCTCAACTGAAGCTGCTCAGCTCTTGTAAACTCAACCCTATGGCTTCCTTTAGGGAATCAGTCCATCTCACATTTTCCTCTTTTCCTGCTGCCTTCCACCTTGCCCAGCATTACTGTCTTTTGCAGAGAATCCTGTCTTCTCACCATGGGCCCAATGTAGGAGAGTCTCAGTTTCAACATTTTCTGCCTCCTGAGCTAGTTCAGGCTTGATTTGATTTAGGACCCACTTGCTTGTCTTTCTGGCCATCAAGGGCATCTGCAAAGCTCTCTTCCAGCACGTTTCAAACAAATCAATTTTTTTCCTGTCAGCATTCTTTATAGTTCACCTTTTACACCCATACATGGTGATCAGAAATACAAAAGTGTAGATGATCTTGGTCTTGGTCTCCAATGACACATCCTTACATCCTTGATGATCTGTTCTAATTTCTTCATTGCCTTCTGAATCTCAGTCTTCTTCTGATCTTGTGGCTGCACTCTTAATTTGGATCGATGGTTGAATCAAGGTATACAAAATCTATTTCAATTTCTTCATTGTCAAGACTAAATTTGCGTAGTTCTTTTGTAGTCATAATTTCTCTCTTCTTAAATGTTCCACTGCAGTCCTGCTTTGGCACTTTTTTTTCTTTCATTTTCATTAAAAGTCATTTCAAGTCATTGCTGCTTTCTGCTAGTAAGATGGTATCGAACAGCAATGATTCAAAATGTCATTACATGATAAATTCGATATTAAGAAACCCTGGATTTGTCCCAACTCTGGGAGGCAGTGGAAGACAGAGGGCCTCCGTGCTCTGGTCCATGGGGTTATGAAGAGTCGGACACAACTTAATGACTAAACAACAACAACCATCAGCAACTCCTGTCCCTGAATAAACAGATCTGTCCCTGAAGTGAAGGACTCCGTTCCTGGAAGAATCAGGAACAATTCTGTAGATGACCAATAAAAACTTACAGGTATGCAATAGTGCATCGTCTATTTCTCAGAAGAGAGCAGTGGCGAAATTTGATCGTTGGAATCAGTTCACTGTGTCCTGATTTAGCTTCATTTCTGGTAACAGAAGGACAAGCTATATTACATACACTTTATAAGGAAGAAACTGTAATATATTTATTATGGATAAATGCAGGGAGGACAATCTTAGTCATATATCAGCAAGCCCAGTATCTGCTGTATTATTAGTCTTGCTTTATGAATTTTATCTGACACAAAAATGATTTGTAATTTCTCTGTGATCTCAAAAAAGGCGATCTACAGGAGATCAAACCACATTCCCTCTAAGGGGGTGACTACATTGATAAATAATGCAGGAAAGGCAAGGTGACTACATTGACAAATAATGCAGGAAAGGCACCAGGATTGGGACAGCAGATCGCATTATATTCCACTGATTTCATGATATAAAAACAAATGTGAATTAGCTCAGAGTTCTCCCCCACAATGTGTAATTTCTCCTCTGCTGCTGGGGCTTTTTCTTTTTTTGAACTGAATGCATTCACATCAGTTTAGTTGGTATGACTGCTGAAGCTGATGTGTTTATATTTCTACTTGAAGCCAGTCCTGCTGGCTACAGCAGCGGCCAGAGGGGTAAGGGAGTGGAGAAACTGCTATATGAATCCTCTCCTTCTCAAACTGGTGCCTGTATCTGTTTGTATTGCTCTTCCCTTCTTTTTTAAATGCTTGCTGCCTTAGTGCTAGGGTAGCTAAGTGATTCTTTAAAAAAGGTGAGGCATTCACACAGAGAGGGGGGGAAGTTATCTGTTAGCCTTGTTTCCAGATTATTAAGTAGCTCTGCTCTTACTGTACCTCCTGCAAATCATGACTGCCAGAGCACAGCTACCTTAAAAAGCTGCAAACAAAGCTATTTCCTCCCCCCTATTTGCTGATTTCAGTGTGGTGAGCTGAAGCAAATTAAGTGGAGAAACCTGACTTTCGGAGTGCAACTCACAGTGGATCCATTTGCATTTGCCTGCTTTTTAGTCGTGCCCCAAATCCTCTAAACCTGTGCTTTCTAAATTCTCTAAATCACAAAGAAAAAGCAACAAAACTGACATGTTCTCTGGCACATACAACAATTTTCCTGTTATGTTAGAAAGGAAAAAGTAGCACACTTTCTTCCTTTTTGTTTATTTATTTATATTTAAAATATTTTAACTCATTTTTCTCATTTAGAGGACTAAAGGCAACTTATATTATTAAAACAAATAATAAAAAAACTGGGAAGAGGAGAGGGGAAAGTGAACAAGTTGGCAATTATATAACTTGCACCTAAAATGGATTTTCTTTATCAGGAAGGTGCAAAGGACCTGAAGAGACTGGGAAGCATTTGGGCACCTGGAACTTATTTTATCAAATGTCATTAAGATGCCTCAGTCTGAATAATTTATTAATTATTTTTGAGCGAGGCTTACTTACACATCAGCCTGGTTCTGTTCATACAGTGATTTCATTTCCTCAAGCACCTGTCTTACTCCATCCTCCTGTAAAATAAAAGGCAATCACTTCATCAAGTGTCAAGCATTTAAAACTACCATTTGACCAAATTTTAAGGAAACGTTTCAACAACAACAAAATTCAGCTATGTTATACAAAATCTGAAGCGGTTTTTACTTAAAAGGAAAACATTGGCTAAATCCCCATCTTAATGCACACTGTGATCTATATTCTAGTCAAAATATCCACTCCTTTAAAAAAGTCCCCAGAATTGTTTTTCATCAATATTCTGCAGCTTTGGACTCTGCTGATCCTTCTCCTTTTACCTACCTACTCAGTGATTCAAGGGACAGAGGTGCAATGAGACTGGAAGAATAATGGAAAATGGTCTCAGGCTGGCTACACGGAGGACAGCATTAGACTTTTTCCAAAAAAACTTGAGAAGAGCAACATCAACAGGCGTCAGAATACTCTCTCTCCCCCTGTTCTGGATCCATAAGCACAGTATCGGTAGAGAGTGTGTCCAGTTCTCTGTAGACATATACTTCCTATGGCACTCCTTCAAGCTGTAAATATAATATCCCCTTACAAAAAGAAAAATGATAGTTTGAGTGGAAAATCTCCATAATAAATCCCACAGAATTACATGGGACTTACTGTATATCCAAGCAAACATGCTTAGCATTTCAGGCTTTGGGTGGAGAATGGAACAAAATTCCATCCTGGGAACACAGACCAATGAGCTAAGTTGTCCAAGTAGTATTGATACTGCTGATAAGCAATTCTCAAAGACTGTTTAGGATCTGAAAGTCCTGCTTCACAGCAACAGAGGGAAAGTTCTGTAGCTCCATCCTGATGAACATATCTACCGTAGCCGAGGAAAACTGGGGGCTGAGAGGCATTCTATTTGCTTCCCCAACTGTTATAACCAAACCAAGGTACAGAAACAAATGTACAGTTTTGCTGGCAGTATGTATTGCTATTCTCTGTTGAGGGCAAAAAGACTAAAATCTAAAGATGGATGCATAATGATATGTATCTCAGGTATATTCTAAAGTCTCAAAAAGTAAATGCCAAGGAAGTAAATCCAGTGAAAACCAGACAACTACCTCTAAATATTAGGAATGCATGCAGCCAAAGAGGTGCACAGTCCAGATACCTAACCCCGCAGGTAAAAAAGAAGAGAGGCTGACCATGCACATAGCCTGGATACTTACTCTGAAGGGAAAAACCAAGAAGCATAAATAGAACTGTATTAGCTAGCAGCCCAGGTTTTGCCTGGATTTTAGACATGCCACCTGGGGCCCATTTAGGCCATCAGGTGGCCTGGATTTTAAGCCTTTTTTAAAAATAGGAAGTCTCCAGCACTTACAGAAGACAGAAAGCAAAACATGCAGTCAATATGTTGGCCTCCCCAGTTTCACTCCCAAGACATAAGTAATACACAACTCAACAAGATCCCACAGATGTGTAAACAAAAGGTTCAGGGGTAAATTTTCCAAAGAAGTAGCCATGGTAGTCTGTCTCATCTTGTAGGCATCCTTCAGTCTCAAGAGACTATGGTAACATGCTCTGAATAGAGGTCTTGGAACAGCGTCTAATGTGGCTGAGAAGGCCAATTCGAGAGTGACAATCCCTTCCACACTGAAGACAAATACAGTCTTTCCCAGATTTTGCCGGTTTCGGGACTGCCTCTTTGCCTCGGCCCGCTGGACAAGGGTCTCTTCAAATTGGGAGCAGCCGTGATGCAACGCCTGCCTCCAGGCTGAACGCTCAGATGTCAGGGTTTCCCATCTGTTTTTGGCCCATTCCTAAGGCCTTCAGATCCCGCTTGCAGATATCCTCGTATCGCACCTGTGGTTTCCCTCTGGAGCGACTTCCCCGCACTAATTTCTCCATACAGGAGATCTTTTGGAATCCAACCATCAGCCATTCTCATGACATGCCCGAGCCAATGCAGATGTTGGTGTTTCAGTAACGTATACATGCTAAAAATTCCAGCTTGTTCTAGTCTGTCTCCACATTCTGGCAAAATTAAATGGCAAGGTGGGGGGCAAGTTAAATATATTTTGGCACTCTAAAACCTAACGTAACGTATTCATTGTGGACTTTTTAGAACAAAATCCACTTCTTCATTTGCAGTTGCAGGAATGCTTGATTCCTAGAAGATTCACAAACATCTAAAACCTATTAATTAGCAGAGCTGCCTCCAAGCAGTCATGAAGCCATAACATTAAATAGGTGCTGGGGGATTATGGGAATCTTAGTCCGAAATGGAGTTTCCCAAACTTTATTGTTACACCTTGCTGCAAGCTGGCAAGAGGTTGGAATCAAGAATCCTGGGGATGCTTCCCAACTCTACAAGTCTGCCAAAAGGAAGGTCTAGTAAGCCTGAAATTGAGTAATTCTAGCACTACATTTATTTATCCGTTTATTTGATTTATATCCCTAGTTCCTACCAAAACTGGGATTGAAAGCGCGTTAGCATGGGCGTCATTCATGTGATTTTTTGTTCTCGCACTAGAGGTGAGTTGGCAACTTGCTAGACGTACGGAAAGGGGTATAAATGTTTTAAGGATACACACGCGCGCACAGTCTGGCCGCAAAGGAAACCTCAACGGCGGCGAGTCTAGAGGGAGAAAAAGAGACCCGTGTGTCTCTCCATCTCTTTCACACACACACACACACACAAACACGCGCGTACGTCTCTTTCACATACACACAATCCTTCCGTGAAATGGGAAAGGGGGATTCGTGTGGGCGAACCGCGGCGCGGACCAAGGCTCACATTGAAGGCAGGCAGCTGCCCGTCCCTGGCTCGATGTAGCTCCCGGACAAGCTCGGCCGCTTTCTCGCAGAACATGACGGAAGGTCCGAAGAATAAGCGACCCCGGCCAAGCGACGGGACCTTTTTTTTTCCCGCGGCTCGCGCCAGCCAAACCCGCGCCGCCAATAGGAAGACGGGACGCCCGCGTGCCAAAGGAGAAGCCCCGCCTCTAGTGCTTTGTACGGAAAGAGGGAAGGGACAAACTTATCTAACGTTTGGTTGTTGTGGTTTTTTCGTGCTCTTATCCGTTCCCACTGAAATGTGGCAGCGTTTGGTGTATGCGAGTCCGGTTGATGGCCGGGGGGGGGGGGGGGGTCGAAATATGTGACTTGACTGTTGCAAACCAACGCTGGCTGACCTTGGAGCAAGCACCAACGGGAATTCAGCGGGACTTTTCCCAGCGTATGGCATTTGCCTTGTTTGGCGTCTAACCGTACAGGATGAAAAATCGATAGGATGATTCACGCAAGGACGGGTTGTCACTCTCTGTTCTCGTGACTTCCATCAGTTGTAATCGAATGTGTGAAATAATTCCATTGGAAAATGTTGCTTTTCCTTCAGTGACCGTTTTACAGGGTCATTGATTTCCTATATAAATTTCATTCGTTTTAGAAAAAAAACTTCACCTTGCAAAACAGTACAGTAGGTATAGGTATGAATATAGTTACTGTACATCTGTTGTCAGCCCAATTTGATAAAGCAGGCTTTATTAGGAAGTTAAAGCTATAGTACATCTTATCTTAACCCTGACCCTAAGTAATACAGAACTGATTAATTTTACAGTGCGGAGAACATGTTGAAAGCTTAGGAATTTGTTGCCCACCTAATTAGTCCTATGGTTCTTCTAAATTTTGTTATCAGTTGTTTATTTGCATATTAAAATGTTGTGTAGTACAACACCAAACAAACACATAGGTTGTGGTATTTAATATAGCAGAATTAATTTAATTAGACCTTATGGTTACACAGAAACTCATTTTTCTTAAGCCACAGTAAGTGACAGCAATTGAGGGCACCTGACTCAGCAATATATCTAGTTACTAATAAGTAGAATGGATGTGACTACATGCTGAAACTATTCATACACATGGCTCAGTTATGAATGGTTTAGTATGCCATTATACTTCTTAAAAGTAATTTCCAAGCTCAGCTACTAAACTTAATTGCCTAATTAATTTAATTAGACCTTAAAAGGAAGTCTGCCCAAGACAAAAAAGATAACCAGTCAGCTATACCCATTGCTCTTTCCCTATTACCTTAAATAGATCTGCTTTGTAGTAACTCCCTGTGATTTTAGTAAAAAAAATGTAGGGCTCAGATTTGTTAGCTTGATATATAGGAACCCACAGTTGTACCTTTTTGGAATACCAAGAAATAAGTACGGCCTTCCACCTTCAGTCTACCTTAAAACTGTAGAGCCTCCTATTAATTGCTAACAAATTATAATTGTTCTTTCCATTATTTCCAGGTACAAAATATTTGACTTTTTCATCTTATCTTAAATATCTTTATTTTGTCTTGGTCAATGTGAGCTATAACAGAGATGTGGAAAATATAAAAATATCAAAACTACTTTTTTATTAGAAGCAAATAGTGTGAGTGTAGAGACAAAGGTGTCCTAACTCTGGCAGTTCTTAATACAGTATAAACAGAGGCAATGTAATTTTATATTTCTCTGACAATATTGGACAGGCTTATCTTTCTTCTCATTTCACTGTTCCATTCAGTCTCAATCTACCCTGCACAGTGCTTTCACACACTTGTGGTTCTTCCTAGGAGTAGGTCATTCTTCCTGTTTTTCCATCAGGAAATTATAAGAACTTTAAAACTTCTGCAAGTGTGTTTTCACCCCTCTTTTGCAATCCCATTTTTTCTGTATTGCCATTTTTAAAAATTGCTTTCCTAAAAACTTATGTGCAATCTGCTCTAAGAGACTTATTTTCCTGCTGAAACTAAAATATTATAGTTAACCAAATAAACCAGCTCGTGGATATAATATCCAAACAGGAGAATCCGGTGTCAGACGGAAGGGTGTTGAATGACAAGAGGCAACCGCAGAATCTGACAGTCCTTCTTCTGGAGTTGGAGATTGGATCAGATGACCTTCATCTTTCACATTTTATGAGTAGCTGGTGCCTTCAGCATCACATATGACTGCAAGTCTGGCATATGGGAGCAAAGCGATTTTCCAAAATATATTGTGACAAAAGACGAAGCCCAACTCCCAGGTTCAACCAAAGGAACCGAAACATAACCGTGGCTTTTCTCGCTCCCGGTACTCCAGGCGGCTACACCATACGTTCCCGTGCCTGCAAAGAAGAAACCTGCGCGCCTCTATGTAACGTGATGAAGCACTTCAGACGTCAATCCGGGAGGTTTGTTTTCCTTCGGATCCGGGCATGCGAAGCCGCAGCCGCCATCTTTGTGTCGGGCAACAACAGCGCCGAGGGAAAAGCCCTCTTTTTATCTCTTGGCAGAGGCGCAGCCGCGCGGGGAGGGCACGTGGGGCTCGGGCGCCTCTGATTGGCGGGGCCTGGGAGGCGCTGCTGGTTGCTCGGTTGCCGGGGCTGTGGTTGGTATGTAGGCGAAGGGAGCGTCCAGTTTCGGGACAGAGGCGTCTTCCCTGCAGCGAGAGGAGCTGGCGCCGCCCGAGCGTTGTCACCGCCGGCATGAGGAAGCGGAACGAGGCCGTCAGTTTGGAGCATGAGCGCTTCAGCTCCTCCGCCCCGGCGGCGCCGACGGGCCCGGTCGGGACCTCCTCTTCCTCCTCTTCCTCGCACCCGGAGAAAGGTTTCAGCTTGAGAACGAGCCTGCGTTTCCCTTGCGGCGCCCGGCCTGCCGCCGGAGACTCTGGCATGAAGCGAACGTCGGGCAGGTGAGACGTCCGGGCGAGGGCCGCGTCACCATGGCAACCCCGCTCGCTCCTTCGGGCGGGGCGCCTCGTGGTGACGATGAGGGCGGCGGGGGGGGGCGTCGCGAGCCTGACTTCGGCCTTACCGTTTCTATGGCAACGGGCGGCCCGGGTGGCATCGCCTCCGCAGCCTTCTTTTCCCTCATTTCTCTTTCCGCCGCCGCCGCCCCCAACTGCACAGACAGCCTTGGCATCGCTATGGCAACCGCCTCGAGAGAGCCCTCGCCCGCCGCAAAGCCCCAACGGAGTGCCCTTGATACCGCTCGTCTCGCCCTCCTCGCGTCCCGATTAAGGGCTGCCCTGGCGGGGTTGGGTTGGGGGCTCGCCGGCTGGCCTTTCCGCTCGCGATGAAGCCCCCTGTGAAGGGACTGTGTCGTTGTTTAGTAGAAGGACCGGGAGCCTCCCCTGCCGCCCGCGGCTGTGCTTCAGCGCCTTCCCTTCCCTATTGCTGCATTGTGTTTACCGACTGCGACTGCAGGCCAAGAAGGGGGTGTGTAAGATGGATAAGGGGGTATGTAAGATAAGGGACATTTCAAATCTGCAAGATCTTTATACTGGTGGGGGATTGGGCGGGGCTGGGCGACTGACGACTTCAGCTAAGGTCAGGGCTGTGTAAACTAGTCAAACATGTTTTTGAGGTGTTTTAGTTGATATACGATGCCTCCAGTTGAAATCTAATGGGATTTGTTTTTAGCCCATTGTTCCACTGCTGCAAAATGGGAATCGATTTCTAATCTCGATCAATTTGTTAAGGCCTCAAACGTGCTTGCTTCTTAAATTCGGAGATTTCTGCAGCAACTGAGACACTAATGATAGAATTGTAGCATTTATTCTGTTTGAAATGATTATCTTGAATCTGGCTGTCATCAAGGAAAATACATACAGTATTTCAAAGTACACAAAGTATTTGTTTCTTTTCTGTTGTACATGAGCATGCAAGCCATGTACATGAGCATGCAAGCTTCTGCTTTTCCTCCTATGTGTTGCATTTAGAATACAGTAGGTTTGTAACAGCTTTGACCCTGAATCTTCTGTCCAGCATACTTTTGTAAGTTCTTTTCCCATTTCCATTTAGAAAATTTCAGATAAACCTTTTTTACCAGGGTAGGGAGTAAGAGTTCAGACTGCTGCAACATCTAGCTCAGAGGATCACAACCTTGGGTCATTAGATATTCTTGGACTATAACTCCCAGAGCCTTTGTCAGCACAGCTGGTTGGTGAAGGCTTCTGAGATACGCAGTTCAGAAACTGCGGGGGCTCCAACATTGGGAACTGCTGTTTTAGCTGAATAGCATGCCGGTTTGTGTCTCTTTTCAGCATATGAAATAGGACTTTTTTTCATTTCACTTGTTTGGTCCTTTAAACATTAATCAGCCTTTGATCTCTTCTCTACTAGTTTTTGTGTTTTTCCACCCAGCTTTTTTACAGTTTAGAAGTGGTTTACAACTTGCTGCTGTTAATCCTCCCAGCAGCCAGAGAAGCTGTATGAAATGAAGGTGATTACCCAAGTCATTCAGTGACCTTCAGAGCTTAGTAGGAGTTTGAACTTGGATACTTACACATCCACTAATTTTGCCTACTATTGAGCCTAGTAAAATGCTAATAAGGGGACACACATGAAGTTCTAAATGAAGCTTGTAACTCATGAAACGATCAAATCTTCTCAGTTTCTATTCAAATGCACACTTCATCTAAAATATTTATTTCTTACCTTTGCTAAATATGTTTTAAAATGAAATGTGTTTTCAAACATTCCCAGGTTTTTCTTATTGAATTTTTAATTTAGAGTTTTCTGTTGTTGAAAATGTCAGTTTCTTTTTAAGCCTATAAGAGCTTAATGTATGCATCTGTGTGTAATTTCTGGAGAAAAAACTTTAATTTTTACCTGCTTAGACTGCAAAAGACATCTTAGAGTTTTCAAGGCAAAACAACACTGTATTAGGTTCATCCCTTCCCTTTCATTGTCAGCATCTAAGTTGCTTTGTGCAAAATTATACCATTTATTTGTACTATCTACCTTGTGAGCTGCAGTATGAGCTCTGGCCAATACAGTATTTGAATTCTTAGAGTCATTTCTATTGGAGGTTTTTCAGCCATTCTCAACAGGGGTCATACAGTCCCTTGGCGTATTTAAAGGGGGCACAGACTGGAAACAATTCTTCACACACCAACTTACAAGATGTGTTATGTGACTTACACAATCTTGATTAGTAATGTATTTCTTTCATATTGTGTTTATGGCTGTGGCCAAAAAAAGACTGAGAATAATAAGCAACATTTGTAAAATAATGTAATCTTACCTCTACACTATGTCTTTGTTCTCCACCCAGTTACACTGTTTTATTTATTGCCCTGTCTCATTATCTTTGCCTGACTCTGATCAAATGGGATGGTTTGAATGTAAGGGGATGAGCGACTTGGAGCCTTCCAGAAGTTGTTGAATTACATCTTCCATTGCCCCTCACCATTAACTGCCCTGACCAGGGCTGTTGTGACTAACTGTCCAACAACTTCTGAAGCGTTATGCATTGCTCTCCTTCCATGCTAACCTGTGGCTCACTATTTTATTCTCTCAATATAGGAATACAACAACAAGTCTTAGCAAGCTGTAGGCTTACATGCATTCTTCCCCGTTCCTGGCTTGAAACAAACACTATGCTTTGCTTTTTTCAGCTAAGCATGGTATTAATCACAGTTAAGGTTTTGGATTAACCTATTAAGTAGAAGCAGATGTGAGTAGATAGCTCAGTGAGTTAAGTGTCTGGCTGTGGAGCCAGAGGTTGGGAGTGCAATTCCCCTCTGTAACTGCAGGGAGACGAACCAGTCTGCATGGCCTTGGGCAAGCTGCATAGTTCCAGGATGCGCTCAGAAAACGGAGATGTTAAGCCATTTCTGAGTGTACTCTCTACCTAGAAAACCCTGAAAATGGTCCCCATAAGTTAAAATTTACTTGATGACCATCATCATCATCAAGTAGAAGTAGAAACAGAAATGGCTGATTTCAAGGCTGTAGCAGAGGAGATTGGAGAAGTGTGTAACCCTCAGGCTAGTGCAGGCTCATTTTTGTGACTATGGCTTAATGTTATGCTTTAATAAAGCTGTTTGTTTTGTTCTTCCATTTATTTTAACCTTCGGTACTGTACTCTGTGTACTCTCTTTGCTTGATAGTGCAGTACAAAAAACATAAAGATACAGCATCCAGTACATGCATAATTACTAGTCTTTCAGTGAGCACTGTATGTGAAAATACACTTTTCTAGCTAAAATCTTGTTCATTCTAGCATAATGAAGTTACATCAGTGAAAACGTCCTAACATTAGACCCAGGCAACCAGAATTTTGCATTTTGATTGCGCAGGCAATTGCACAGTTCCTATCAAGACTATTGTGTGACATACATGACTGCTGGATAGCTCGGTGGTTGAGGTCTCTAGCTGTGGAGCTAGAGGTTCGGAGTTCAATTCCCCATTGCTTCCTTCACAAGGGCTGAATCTGATGATTCGTTAGGTCCCTTCTAGCTTCGCAGTTCTAAGATTATTATTATAATAACCATTTAAATCTCACCAGTTACTCATAAACATGTTTTAACTTGCTTATAAATGTAGATAAAGGTTGCAGAAAAAATATAACACATCCTAGAAATGCAGCCAGTGCATTCCTGTAACATTGTCAGAGCCAACATATAGCCACCCTATTAGAACTTAAAGGTAAGTGAGGTGTTTTAAGGAGTGGTTTTATCAGTTCCATCCCACACCACCTCAGTTAACTTCCATGGTCAAGCAGGGATTTGAAGCCAGGTCTCCTGAGTCCTGCATTTGTATTGTTTCTTTGATCATGTGGCCTTTTCCTGATTTTTCTTGAGTTCTAGTTTGTCATTCTATACTCATACTATACTAGTTACCTTTTTTTCCCCCCAAAATAGCCAGCTCAGTTTTTAAAAGTATTTTTCCAACTGTTGGGGGGAAATGCACATTTTCTGTGCTTAGGGCAGATTTTTTGTAAATGCCATGTATGTATATGGTATTTTTACTAAGAGAAGGTATGGTAGGGCACTTTACTAAGGAGCTTATAACCAGAACAGAAATATGAAAGAGAGAATGGAGGGAAACAGGTGACAAAGTATGCAGTTATTTCAGTTACATCTTCTTTTACTTGGTTACAGTGCAGCATAGTGATTAGTGTAATGACCCAGAAGCTTTCTGGAAAGGTTGTATTTGAGAAGGGAAAAGTGTGTATGAGAAGGGCTGTTCCACATCCTGAGAGACAATTTCAGGATAATGATCAGTATTCAACATACAAGCTTGAAATAGTGTAGAGGCATCTAAGTAGAATTATCAGAGGCAGCTGAAGATACAGAATTGGATGGGAAGTGAGAGACACCAGGCAAAAAGGTAGAGATGGGTGTTGTAGTGAACAGGTAGTACTGAGAGTCACAGGATATGATGAGGCTATTTAGGAGCAAAGTTATATAGAAAATTATAGAGGTTCTGGTACGGAGTACTGACAAACCCCAGAGGAGACATAAGAGTCATTTTGAAAAGCAGATAGAGAGTTAGAAAGAAAACCATCCGAAGACAGATTGCTAAAACTTAAGGCGGAAAGTATGCATGGGGAATTATTAGCCTAGCAAACCACATAGTGAGGTCTGCCGAGTCCCTTTTCCCTCCTAGAAGGAAAGCCATATTGAAACAAAGGCTATCAAATAAAGATGGGGAATCAGTGGTTTGGTACCAGAAGAGTCTTGAGTTTGGCCAGCTTCACCACATTTTTTTGTTGTGGATTTTGTGGGAGTTCCCAGCACTGAAAAATATAGCCTGCAAAAGGTCAATGAACTCTACCCAGCTACAAGGACTGGTGATCACTGCATACAAAAGACCGGCTAATGACACACATCAATCACAGTGACAGATAATCTCTCCCTCTTATCACAACAATACACCCACAACAAAAAACACGTTGATCACC